CTGCAGATCAAGTGGCTCTCGTTCCAGTTCTTCCTCTCCATCTACATCGTGCTCGCCATCGGCGCCGACGACACCTTTGTCTTTGTCGACGCGTGGAAGCAGGTCCCTGGCATCGACTCCACACGTCCCTGACATTGCCCGACACGTCCGCGACACGCCCCTGGCATCGCCCGACATGTCCCCGACACGTCCCCGACATCCCCGACACATCCCGGCACAGTCCTTCTACGCGGGTACCGAGGTCAACCGCAACCTGGCGACACGCATGTCGTGGGTCTACCGCCGCGCGGGCCTCGCCATGCTCATCACGTCGCTCACGACGTGCGCCGCGTTCCTCGCGACGGCGGCCTCGTCATGGCAGGTGCCCGACCTGCAGCTGTTCGGAATCTTCACGGCCTTCGTCATCTTCATCGACTACGTGCTCGTGATGACGTTTCTCACCGCAATCATGGTGCTGTACCACAACCACTTCGAGATGAAGCCGGGCCTCTGCTGCGCCTGCTGCGGTACGGCGGACACGCAGCAGGGGTGCCGCAAGGGCGGCTGCGACGCGCTCTGCGCCTCCTCCTCGAAGCTCGAGACGACGACGGCGGTCGCCGAGCGCGGCGGCGCCGACCAGGTGGCCAAGCCGCGCCTCGTCACCTTCTTCGAGGACGTGTTTCCCTTTAGCATCATCCGGCGCCCTCCGGCGCGTGCAGCGTCCGTGGTGATCATGCTCGCGGTGCTCGCGCCGATGGCGTGGCAGGCGTCGCAGCTCGAGCCGCAGAAGGATGCGGCCCAGCTTTTGCCCGACGGCCATCCGTTCCAGCGCTTCTTCGACTTGAGCGCCGAGTTCGAGGTTTCGAATGAGGACGAGCCCGTGAAGCTCAGCGTCGTGTGGGGCTTTGAGGACAAGCCGCTCGACATGGAAGGCGTCAACCGGCTCTTTGACCCGCAAAACAAGGGCCGCCTCGCCTTCAGCCCCGACTGGGTGCTCGACGGGCCGTGCGCAGGGGAGGGGCGGCGCACACCAAGCCACGTCCACGACACGTCCGTGACGCGTCCCATAGGTCCTTGACGAGTCGGCGCAGTCGGGACTGCTGAGCGCGTGCGACCTGCTCGAGAATTCGAATCTCGTCTTCGACAGAAAAACCGACGAGGGCGGCCTGGAGAAGGACATCGACTGCTGGGTGCGCGACTTCAAAGACTGGCGCAACACCCACAGCAAGATCTTCCCCGTCCCCGACACTGGCGTGGTCACGGCGGTCAAAGAATGGTGTGACAACGCCATAGACGTAGACGGGGACACCGCGCAATACTGCTCGCGCTACGTCGGCTTTGAGGTCGACGCGAACGGCGACCTCTTCATCGCGTGGACTCGCGTCGTCATGGGCGTCAAGATGAACGACAACGTCTTCCTTCCCGCGTCAGAGCTCCGCGAGAAGTACGACGACTACGAGGGCCTCGTCGACGAGATCAACGAGGCGGTCGGCACGACCCTCGGCGACGCGTTTCAGGCCGAGAGCCCACCTGAGATGCCGCGACGAGAGGCTCTGGGCGAGAAGCAAGGCGCCACAGCGTCCCACCGTCGCCGTCTCCCCTCCCTCGCAGGTGGCCGTGGGCGAAGATCCGGGTGGACAGCCGCGCGCCCAAAACAAATGGATCAACATGGTTTTGCAGGAGCTGTACGTGCGCATGTCGACTATCGGCGTCGTCATCGGCATCAGCATCGCCTTCGTCGTCCTCGTGCTCTCCACCCGCAACCTCCTCGCCGCCTCCATCTCCGTCCTCTCCATCGCGTGCGCCCTCGTCACTGTGATTGGCATCACCGTCGCGATGGGCTGGGAGCTCGGCTCCAGCGAGGCCATTTGCCTGATGACCCTGACCGGCTTCGCCGTCGACTACGTCGTCCACCTCAGCCACTCGTACATGGAGTCCACCTCGCACTCGCCGCTCGAGCGCACGCACGACGCGCTGCGCGACATGGGCATCTCCGTCTTCTGGGGCATGCTGACCAGCTTCGTCGCGGCGCTCGCGCTGGCGTCGTGCCAGCTGCAGTTCCTCTCCAAGTTTGGCTACTTCTTCCTCCTGACCATCACGTTCGCCTACCTCTGGGCCGTGCTCTTCCTCATGCCCCTCCTCGCCACCGTTGGCCCCCGCTCCTCACCCGCCGACGGGCGCGCGGTGCCGCACACGCCGTACAACTCGAACACCACCCGCCGCAAGGTGCCCGACGCCATCGAGGTGGCATAGGGCGGAGCCGGGGGGGGGTTAGGGCAAGTCCCTGCCGCCTTTTGTACATTAGGGGTGAGGGGGGGTTGACATGAGCCTCCGGCGCGCTAGTGCTCTCTGAGCGCGCGTCGCCGTGTGTGGGAGAGCGACACGAGGTTAGTGCAAGCAGGTGGGCACGTGCTCCGCTCGGCTCTGACTGGCGACTGTCCGCTTTTTTATTGTGTCGCTGAGAGGCGTATATATTGGTCACTGTGTGTTTGAATAATGAAAGATGTTTGGTCGCGTTTCCTTTGAGCTGTTTGATCCTCTTTGAGACCTCTCGAGGGTATATAGGGCCATGAGATCTGAAGCTCACCCATTGAGCTTTGAGGAAGTGAGCGAACTGCTCGACCAGCCACCCTGATCGTGCTGAACAAGCTCCTCTTGTAGCTCGATCGGTCACACCGCCATCGCCGCCGAGGAGAGGGGGGACGACACTGCCTCTGCAGCGTGCACCTCGATCCTGTAACGCGGAATCGACCCTATCCAGTGCACAGTGCTCAAGTGCTCAAGACCTCTCGCTCGCACTTGGAGCTCAATCCGCTCATTTTACTTAATAGATAATACTCCAAAGTGCTAAAGCCGTAGCTGCAGATGCGCTACTGACGTAGTGCTACTGCTAGCTCGTAGAGCTGCCAGTGCCCAGTGCCGCAGCCCGCACTGCCAGTGGCAGTGCCGCAGTGGCAGTGCACAGTGGCCAGTCCCAGTGCTACGCCAAAAATACCTTTTATTTACACACACGTTGTGACCGCGGTTTTTCGCGCGGTTTGTTTTCGTTATTGCGCTAGGACCAGCGCCCACTGACGAGATATCACAAACGCTCGGCCCGTGCACGTAAGTCGCGCGCTCTCGATAGTACAAATAAAATCGTGCACCTCTCTGCGCGCTACGCGAGTCCACGTCCCCTCATCCCGGCCTCAAGCTGCTTCCATATCACCGTGAAGAGGGCGGCCTGCACGATGTTCGCCAGCAGGCGCGTGCCGAGCCCGCGGCAGAGGAGCCCCCGCAGCCCGTCCTGCCGCAGCACCAACTCCGCGGCCTCTTCGTACGAGAGAGGCGCCTACCGCAAACCAGCGCCATCGCCACGGGATCTCTCCTCGTTACGTCCGCGCGGGGGCCTCCTGCCTCCGCAGTCTGTCGGGTCGTCTTGACCACGCGGATGGAGTTGGAGAGGCAGTCCGAGACTGCGGCGGCGCAGACGCCGAGTGTTGCTGAGCGCAACAGCAGCCGCGGCCCGGCCTGTGGGACATGGCTCGGACATGTCGTGCGGACAGATCAAGCAATTGGCCGAGCCGCGCTGGCGCGTCCCGCCGGCTCCGCCCTCGGCAGCAGCTCGTCGAGCGCGTTGAAGGTGAGGAACCACGGGTAGCCTCCCACCTGTCCACAGCCGCACGGGGCTGACGAGACAATCACCCGGCGGCGACCAGAATCTCCGAACAACTCTTGGCACAAAATTGGCCGCCGCAGACGCGAGCGCGCCGGCCCAAAGCTCACAGGCGCCGTTCTGCTTCGCGCGGCGCAGCAGCAGCTCATACGCGCCCCTCCCCTCCACCTGAAGCGCCGTCTTGAGCGTGTCGAGCGGCGTGATTGCCACGCGCCACAGCGCCGCCGCTGCGCTCGCCTGCGGCAAACTTCCGAGACACTTTGGGGGAAGGGATTGCGCCACGCGCGGGACAGCGGCTGCTCGCCAGCGCAGTGCGCAGCGCGACGGGTAGGGCGCCGCCGGCAGCGGTCGACGAGAGGAGCGCGAGGACGCCTGTGTTTGCTGCTGTGTCGCCAAAGCGCGAGAGCGGCGTCTGCAGCAGCGCGTACGGCAGGCCCTGGTAGAAGCGCGAGACGCCGCCATGCGCGTAAAGCGTCCGCATCGCGGCGCATGTGGATGAGCCGTGCCGATACTGGTAGTTCATCGTCGTGCGCAGCCACATCAGCAAGATCACCTGCGCTACGCCCGCCGCCGCGCCGGACAGCCCGCCGCCGAGCGCCTTCCGACTCGCCGAATAAACGATCTCGCCGACGGAGCCCGCCGGTCGCCGCTCTTTGGCTGGCGGGCCGTACCGGGCCGAGAGCCAGCCGATGATCACGACAAGGAGGACGAAGGCGGCAAAGACGCCGCGAGCGGGCAGCAGCAGAGGGCTCGGCGACGGGCGAGCCTCGCCCGCTAGCACGCTGGGGTCGTCAGAAGCGGCGGCCTTCTCGAGCAGCGAGGCCTCCTCGGCCGAATCAGGGTTCGTGCTCGATGTCGCAATTTTTTGTCGGCCTTTCGCGTCGAGCGGAGGGGCACTGATGCCCCTCAGGCTGTTTGCGGCGGGCGGCTTGCTCGCGGCGAAAAACTCTGCGGTATGGCAGACCAGGGGCTTAATGCTCTGGCGAGACGTGAGGCGCATGCGCCCAGGAGGGGAGGGCGCATGCGTAACGACGCTGCTAGAGATGCCTTTCGGGGCCCAGAGATAAAACTTCTGAAGCCATGCGTGACCTAGTAGTGTCCCCAGCTATGGGCGTGTCCACGTTGGAGCCAGGCAGGTGTGGTGTGGACGCGAGAATAGCTCCGCCGTTCATGGAGGCAACCGATGGCGATGCGAGTCGACTGGTGTGTGTCGTCGTGGTTTCGTATCAAGAATACTCACTCACTCACTCACTCACACGCTCACAGCTGTCCCAAACCCGAGAATACTTGCTTGTACCGAAGTGAGGCAAGAAGAAGTGCTCGTGGGCACAACAAGGGGAGGTGTGGGGACACGCATCGATCAGCTTCTCGACGATGCTCGAGGTGATCGATTTCGATCTGGATAACTGCTACGTCATCACGTATGACGGACGCCTGCTAAAGCAGGCTCGCGGTAATCCCGATGGGGAGTGCGCTCTCGCCACCGCTGCCGATAGGGACTCGGATGGAGCATAAATGGATGCATACGCTTGAAGATGATTTCGAAGCCCGATTCCGTATGAAACGCTACATGGACGATGTGATTACGATAACTGCAAGAGCTGTAGAGCTGTAGAGCGCTGTAGAGCTGTAGAGCTCTACATCCGCCGCGTGACGATGTGAGTCCGATGTAGAGAGCGATGTAGAAGCGCTCTACAACGTGAAATCTCTACAACAAACTCTACATCATAAGCGGCGAACGAGGCACGGTCGCTCTCCGACATGAGGCACGTTGCACTTGCCAGTGCTGCCCTGGCCTTCTGTCTGCCCGCCCAATGGGTGGCAGGTGCCTCTGCTGCTGTGGCATGCCTCACGGCTGCGACTGGCCGGCGCCTCGGCGCGTCAGCTCGGCTCGGCGTAGCGATCGTGGCCAGCGCAACTCGCCTGGACTCAACGCTCAGCCAGGAGCTCCCGCACGCGCTGGCGCGAGTCATGGCGCATGCAATGCGCTAGATTTGAGACTCATATCTTGCTAGCAGTACGCAACACCACGCATCACACGACACAATAAGTCACAAGTCACACACAAGTCAAGCAGAGGTTTGAGAAAAGCGGCGACGAACCAATCCGTCGCTAATGCATCGTGGGCTGCCGCGCGGACCGTGCTGACGGCGGGCTGTCCTGTTCCAACCTCCCTCACCAACCGGAACCGCGCGCTTCGGCCGATCGGCCCGCGCCGCCGGTCTCGGGCGGTCTGGCGCGCGCCGCTCGCGATATGGATTCCGAGATACGTACGCACTTACGCAGCCGCTGCGCGCTGAGCCGAGACGCCGCCGATGTATTTATTCATTCTCGCGCCCCAGGGGCACACCCTATCTGCCACACACCGCCACACACAGCCCGCCACAGACCACAGCGAGACGACTGCAACCAACTCTCGACAAAGCATAGGCCGAACGTCAACGTGTCTTGGACCGGCGTCGCGATTGGCGTCCTCAAGCCGATGCATGTGAAATTCTCGACAGACGTGTGCACCGCTGGCGTGTCGAGCCTGAGGGCGCGTCGAGTCTGTGGGTCGGCCAGTTCTCGCCGCCCGTCACCGACATCTCGATCCACATGGGCACCGACCCGACGAAGCGTGGAATCTCCACCGAGGGGACGCCGCCGTTCACCGTGCCGGCGCCCAACAGGTTTATCTCGGGCTCACAACTGTATCGCGGGTACCACAACTTCATCGTGTCCAACATGCGCGCGCCGGTCAACTGGGCGCTCTTCTCGGGCTCGCTCACCGACGCGAGCGACTTTAAGGTCCTCGCTGTCTCGGACACCGTCACGCTGCGCGATGCGGCGGCCCCCATGCACCTGCGGCTCTCTCGCACCTCCTCCGTGCAACAGATGCGCGTGTCGTGGACGTCGGCGCAGGGCGACGACGCTGCGAAGCATCGCGTCGAGTGGGGCGTCAAGGCGTCCTCGCTCGATCGTGTCACGCCCGCCGCGAGCCACACCTACGCTCCGGCCGACCTGTGCGGCTTCCCGGCGAATGCGTCCGGCTTCCATGCTCCTGGATACTTCCACGAGGCGGTGCTCGAGCTCGCGAGCGACACGCCGGGCGCGCCGCCGACCAAGTTCTTCTACCGCGTCGGCTCGGACGCGTACGGCTGGTGTCGGCCGTGCACTCGTTCACGCCGCCCGCGCCCGTTGACCCGCATGGCGCTCTCTCGGTGATCATCGCCGCAGACATGGGTGAAACTTATGAGGACGGCTCGCAGTACCACTGGGAGGAGCCAGACGCTGTCAACACGACAGTGCACATTGCGAAGCGCCTCGCGAGCAACGGCGGCAAGGGCATCGACCTCGTGCTGCACCCGGGCGATCTGTCGTACGCCACGGGCTACGAGTCCGAGTGGGATCGCTTCATGGCTCAGATTGAGCCGATCTCGTCCTACGTGCCCTACATGACCGGCATGGGCAACCACGAGCGCGACTTCCCCGGCAGCGGCAACTCGATTGGCGCGGGCGACTCCGGCGGCGAATGCGGTGTGCCGACAGAGGCACGCTTCCACATGCCAACGTGCGCCCAGCCAAATACCAGGCCGTGCATCGGCCAAAAGTACGTCGGCAAGGAGGCCGGCCGCGCTCACCACTCGTCTGTGGTCGTCGGCGTGCCGGGCACGGTGCGTGCTGCCAAGCCCGTCGGCTCGGCGGACGATGGCTGGTACAGCTTCGAGCAGGGCCCGCTGCACGTGCTGATGCTGCACACGGAGATGAGCTCGGCGAAAAGCTCTCGGCAGCACGCGTTCGTCGCTGCCGACCTCGCGGCCGTCAACCGCACGCGCACGCGTGGGTGATCGTCGCCGGCCACCGGCAAATGTACGCTGGCAACGCGAAGCTGCCGCAGAATGCGCTCGGCGACCTCGAGCCGCTCCTCATGCAGTACAAGGTGGACATTGCGTTCTGGGGCCACATTCACTATGCACAGCGCTCGTGCCCGATGATCCAGGGGGCTTGCGTCACTTTGAAGGATGCGGCCGGCTACGACGCGCCCATCCATGCCATCATCGGCAACGCCGGCCAGAGCCTCTCGACGTTCCCCGACCCGAGCGCACGCGCAAAGTGGTCAGTCTACCAAGCTAAGGAGTGGGGCTTCTCTCACATGACCATCCACAACGCGACGCACCTGACGCTGGATTACTACGCCGACGCGCCGCTTGACGGGAAGGCGCCGCTGCACCACACCGTCACCGTCAAGCGTGGCTACCCGCGCGTCTGAGCTTGATGCTCAGCGTGCTTGGCGAGCTGCGGCGATTCGCTGACGTGTGCGCGGCCGATGCGGCACGGCGCGAGGTGCGCGCGGCGGCGCTCGCGGCCGATGCCGGCGGCCGCGTGTGTGCGTGTGGTGCGCGGCCGCGGGCTGCTGCTCGCTCTTCGCTTTGAGCCCAGCCTACTGAGCGAGCTCTGCGCCTTCGCGAACGAAGTGCGCCCCGTACGTGCGCGGGCGTGCCGCCAGAGCTCCTCCTGCACGTCTACATGCTGCATGAGCACCGCGTGCGCGCGAGGCCCGCTGCGGGCCTGCGGGTGGGCTGGTGCTTGCAGATGCACGAAGCTGCCTGCCAAGAGCAAAGCCTCTCCTCTGATGCTCTTGTAGGTAGGGCTTGCCTGAGAGTGGCTTGCCATGTCACAGCACACAGGAAGGACTGTGGTTACAGGAGAGTACTACCATCCAAGCAACCATCACTTTGGTTGGTTAGCTTCACCGCGCAAAGTGATTGATGGTTTCCCATAAGTAGGGTCCGGTCCTCGCGGCAGCCAGCACCGAGGACGACACGAGAGACTCGAGTACGAGAGCCGAGCCGTTTTTTTCAATTTTTGGTTGCCCACTTTGGTTGCACCTGTGCGCTGGCGGTTGCCGCTTGTCGTGAGTGTTCTCCGATTGCTGGCCACGGGAAAGCGAGCGCTCAACAGCCCTTACACTTTAGTAGGAGGACCCTCCGGGTCTGCAACTCGCACTGCGGGTCCGCACCTCATATGACCAGTAACATACCGACCACAGTGGTCTTCTACCCGTGACCCCCTCGCCGCCGGGCCGGGCCGTACGCGTCTATCAGAGCGCGCACGCCCCGCTTCGCGGCGGCGGTGCCGCCGTCGGGGCCGGCGCGCGGTAGCCGCGACGCGAGCGCGCCGAAACACACCTTCCCCATCGCGGCGGCGGCGCGCGTCGCCTTGTGCTGCGGGTCGGCGTAGCAGAAGCCAAAATGCGCGCCCGCAGCTGCAAACGCGCCCGCGGCGCGCGCAAGCAGCGACAACTGCTCGGCCGCAGATCTGCCGGGCGCGGTGGCCAAGGCGTGGCTTGCCAGGCCGAGCGTGAAGCAGAGGTCGCCTATTGCCGCCGCCGCCGCCGTGAAGCGACGCCGCTCACAAGCCCCGCCGGGCCGAGAGCGTGCAGTAGAGGTCTCCCAGTTGCTCGTCGTACTTGCCGCACACGCGCGCCGCCACGCTCAGCGCCTGCTCCGCGCGCCTGCAGCGGTCGGCGTCGGAGGACGCTAGCTGGACCAGCCGCAGCCGCGCCTGAAGGGAACCGGGCGGTGTCTGGCCGCGCCTCGGACGGAACTCGTCCCAATCTCGGCAGATCTCCCGGCGTGTTTTTTTCTCCCGCGACCTCGCCTGGAGCGCGACGGCGTGGTTCGGGTGGCAGCGCCGCAGCGCCGACTCCAGCACCGCCTCCACCTCCGCCGTAGCACCGCCCTCGCTCGCCGCGGCCAGCCGACCGCGCAAGTCCGCGTCCCACGCCAGCACGCGAGAGAGCGACTCGGCGGCGCCTGATCGCACCCACCGGGCTGAAGGGCAGCAGAATAGCGGCACGCGGGGCCCGGGCGCTTTCGTCGCCGCAGCTGACGCAGCGCCAATCGCCCGCCCCACCCTCGGGCTGCATCCAGCCGCGCCCGCACCGGCAGCGGAGGCTGCTCTCCCACTCCTCGCTCCGCGACAGGTCCGCGCCGCAGCGCGCGCAGTCGCACGTGAAGCTCTTGTGCCGCTGTAGCAGCCGCCGGCGCTCATACCGCGGCTGACGGGAAGGAGGCGGAGGGGCTCGGACGTGTCGTGGGCGTGAGCGTGTGTGTGTGTGTGTGTGTGTGTGTGTGTGCGTGCGTGCGTGCGTGCGTGCGTGCGTGCGTGCGTGCGTGCGTGCGCGCGCGCGTGCGTGCGTGCGTGCGTGTGTGTGTGTGTGTGTGTGTGCGTGCGTGCGTGCGTGCGTGCGAGTGAGTGAGTGTGTGTGTGTGTGTGTGTGTGTGCGTGCGTGCGTGCGTGCGTGCGTGCGTGCGTGCGTGCGTGCGTGCGTGCGTGCGCGCGCGCGTGCGTGCGTGCGTGCGTGTGTGTGTGTGTGTGTGTGCGTGCGTGCGTGCGTGCGTGCGTGCGAGTGAGTGAGTGAGTGTGTGTGTGTGTGTGTGTGTGTGTGTGTGTGTGTGTGTGTGTGTGTGTGTGTGTGTGTGTGTGTGTGTGTGTGTGTGTGTGTGTGTGTGCGTGGATGAGTGTGAGTGTGAATGAGTGTGAGTGCCTCCGTGCTGTCGACATAGCTGATGTAGAGCGCTTCGCCACGCAGCACGGGCTCGCTCGCGCGAAAGACAAGTTCACCTAGAAACCTCGGGAGAAGAAACCTCGCGTCGATCTCGATCCGTCTCGGACCAGTCTCGCGACGGCCTCGACCACTCTCGGCCAGCCTCGACGGCGTCTCCATTCCTCTCGGCCAGTCTCGGGCCAGCGAGGGTCCTCTCGGCCAATCTCGCCTCCGCCGCCGCCACAGGTGAGGTCGGCGTGGACGTTAGGCGCACACGAATGGTTGAAAAGCGACGCCCGCACAAACAGCCCGTAGCCCGCCGGCTCCTCGGCCCCGCCGCCGCCGCCATCGCCGCCGCGCGTGCCAAAGGCGTTCGTCACAACGACGCCTACGCACGGCGCAGAGCGCTGAAGCGACCACCCGCTCGCGGCGCCGACAGCGTGCGCCGCTCTCAAGACACCGATCAGTCGCGCGAGCTGGTCCGTGGTTCGGGCAGTCTCGCCCGCCGCGTGTAGTGCGGAGGAGAGCTTGGCGGCGACGCGGCGGAGCAGCGCTTGCTGCTCCGCCGCTCGGCGGGTGGCGTTGTCGTCGCAGCAGCGAAGCACGGCCTCGAGCGCCTCGAGGAGAAGCATGCTTTCTTGGGTGGATCATGCCCTCTTGGGCGCGAGTGACATTTGTAGTGGCCCATCCGTGTGCCTAGCGGCAGAGACGCAGCGGGCAGAGAGGCTGCGAGGCAGTGGGGCGGTGTTGCTGTGTATGTGGCGGGAAGGCCACGCCTCGTCAGGCAGGAGAGCAGCACGCACGAGGAGCAGCCAGCCGGCAGCTAGGATGCCAAGCGCCTGCTGCGCGGCGCCGCTAAAGCCAGCGTCGCAAACAATCACCGCACTCTCGCGCTTGCTGAGGCTAGCCGCCGCTTCGCCGTCGCCTGGCCACGCTGGCGCCCAGACGTCCGGTCTGACCCTGAGGAGTACCTCGGACTCAGCGATGCCGCGACGTGCGACGTAATATCGGCCGCGAGACGGATCGCTCGCCACCTCGAGGAGCGGATCGCTGCCGTTTGACGCGACTGTTGCCATTTGGCCGGGCAGAAGCTCGACGGCTGCATGCATGTAGAGGACTGGCGCGCACTGGCACTAACACAGGTACACCCTGGAAAAAGAATTTTACAAATAGACACACCTCTAGGACACACACAGGACGAGGACACACACAGGACGCACCTCTAGCGAGGCCCGCATAGTTGTGGGAGACTCCTGCCGCCGCCCCTGCCACCCCTTTCTGTGTCAGAGAGATTTTAGAAAACTCTCTGTGTGTCAGTGTGCCTGTGGTTGCGAGAGACTGCCAGTGAGAAGCTGGAGGCAGGTCGCGGTCGGTGGTCGTCTACTGGATCCTTCGCATCCTGCTGTTCATCTATTTGGTGATCGGCGTGCCAGTGGCCCTCGTGCTAACCCCTGTGACCGTTTTCCTGAACTTCTGCCTCCACGCCCATGCAGCACGGCGTTTACCTCAGGTGTGGACGGACGACAATCAGGACGGAACGGAACAAGGCCGTAAGATAAGGGGCTAGGGTAAGGTGGAGAGCACGGCGCCGCCTGCTCTTTGGGCCAATCCCCGCCGAGGACTGCCAGTGCGACTATTGAGCACCCGGGCCCTCCGTGTGCTGATGATTTCGTGACCCCCCGGCCCCGCAAACTGTCGAGCCTCCAGCTCTACTCTACCCCCCCCCCCCCCCCTCAACTCTACACGAGTTTCCGCCAGGCGACGAGGCGAGCTCGCGTGTAACGAAAACACGAGAGGCGCTCTATTGGCAACATGACTAGCCACATGCAAGTCTTTTACGGTATTTTGAAAAAGTGAAAAAAAGTGTGTGGAATTCAAACAATCACATGGTTGCGTTGCGGTCTACTCGGCATGCCACAATCAACGCGAGCCCCGCTCGGTTGACGGTTCGTCGTTGCCACATGCCTGGCGGGCTGAGCTGCCAACGAGCGGATGGCGCAACCTTCTCTCAGCTCGGCGTGAAATTGTGAGGAAATCGATGGCGCAGCTCCAGCTCCAGCATGCTCTTTAGCCGGGGCCACAAAATCCGTGGGCGCAGCGTCCACGAGTGCGCGCAGCTTCGCGCCGACGCAGTGTCGCAGAAGCGCACGGTCGATGGATCAAGCCACAAGCACACTCGCTGGCTGCCCAGCGTATCGTTCGGAACCACCCCTCTCCGACGGAGAAAACGGTTGAGCAGGCACTCGGGCGGCACGTCCGCGCGCGCCCCGCCGCTCCGGGCCATGTACTTTGGTGGGCAGAAGGGTGCGTACGCTTCTCGCGGCACGCAGGCCTCGACTTCCGGATGGGCGTTGAAGTACAGAGCTGCGACCGAGCGCGGCATGATGCCCAGCATGTCATGCACCTGGCGCAGGGGCGTGCGGGCGGGCGGTGACGAGAGGGCCGCTGCACGTGTTGTGACCATGGTGATGGTGGTGGCGACTCTTGCAGAGGGCATGGGGTGCGTGTGCGGAGAGGGAGGCCATGGGGCGTGTACCGCCACCACTCCCACCTCCACCACCTCCACCACCACTCCCGCCTCCACCACCACCACTCCCACCACCTCCGCCGCCGCACCACACCTTGTTATTCGTGTCGGGGCCGGTTGCCCACGTAAGCAACCCGCGCGCGCCCGCAAGCGTGCGCCAGGATGGTAGTGGTGAGCATAGCTGCAGATCGGGGCGCAGCTTGACGAACAGAGCAAACGCTTGCGAGGTCGCGGCCTCATGCTCGACCATCATTGACCAGCACACCGCATGGTCTACGCTCATGATGGCGAAGCGATCCCACATGCTGCCGGCGCGGCGGGGGCACGTGCTGTTGCCGCGCTTCCTGCCGTCGTCCTCTGAGCGGCTGAGGCGCACCACCGCCGTGCTGCTGAGCTGCCGCGCCGCTCGCAGCGTATCGCTCGGCTCGCCGTTTGCAGAGGGTCTGCTCAGTTTGAGGTGCAGGAACACTGTGTGCTGGGGAGCGCCGATGGCCTCGACGGCGTTTGAACGGATGCTCGGGTGCACGACGCCGGCCGAGCAGTCGGCGGTTCGACGAGAGGAGGCCGTGTGCTCCACGGGCCTGATGGTGAGGTTGAGAGGGTGGTGGAAGACCAGGCGGTGCGCCTCGGCCGACGGCGAGAAGGACGAAAACATCTCGGGCGCGGGACGATACGTGCGAGTTGGCGCGATGTCACGCGCAACTTTTGTGCTTCCCTTCCCTGAGCACACTGGATAGGGTCGATTCCGCATGGTACGGGACCCCTCGATCGTCTCGCCCTCCCTCCCTCCTTAGACACCCGGATGGTGACGTGTGTGAGTGTGTGTGTGTGTGTGTGGTGACCCACAGAGCATGCCGATTGTGTGTATGTGCGGGAGTTGGTTTGTCGGGAGCTCGGGAGGGAGGGGGAGGCTGCTCGCCCACGTGCACCGACCGGGCCAATGCTTGCACTTTGATTGAATGCCGTGGGGCTCCTTCCTGCCCGTGTCCGTCCGGGTGTGGAGATGCGAGCGAGGGTCTCGCCCTCCCTTGTACCACCAGAAAGAAAAGAAAAAAGCTCCAGATACCAGATAGCCCCACCACTTACCTACTTACGAGGATTTAATTTTCTTTGTTCGCGGCCTGGCGCGCCTGTTTTTCTTTGTTTGTGGCGGCTCTTGCTGATGGACTGTCAATCTATCAACCGCGTCAGCAACCGCGTCAGCCGTCGTGATCGCTCGTCAATAAACCAGAAACTCCGCATGTAAATGGCGTCGCTGTTGCTGGCGTGGTTGGCGTACCGCCGCCACTCCGCGTGCTGAGACAGGGCGCGCGAGCCGCGAACCATCCCGTTGAGCGCCGCGGCGCCGACAGCGAGCACCACGTCGTCCGCCTCCACCCGCACCTTCGAGTCGGCCGGCGCGCCGCTCGCGTCTTCGGTCGGCGTGCCTCCCGGCACCAGCGGGCTGCCGCCGGTCGTCCTGCAGACGACGCACTCGATGCGGCCGTCCGAGCCGCACTCGAAGTCGGTAACCCGCGTGGAGGGGAGGAACTGGACGCCGCGCTCCTTCATCTGCTCGACCCACGGCTGGAAGATCTTCTCGCCGATGTTGCCCTTGCACCACCGAACGTCGAAGCTCGTCTGGTGCTTGAGCACGAAGAAGTAGGCCATGCCGAGAGCTGCCGCCGCAGAGCACTCTTCGCCCGGAGCAAAGAGGCCGGTCAGGATCATCGGCTCGAAGGTTTCCTTGTACATGCGGCGCGAGACGCCGAGCTTGGTGCACAGGTCACGAAACGAGATCTTGTCGTACTTTGCCAACGCCTCGGGCGAGTCGTCAAACTCGGAGAAGGCGCACGAGTGGAGCGGCAGTCGCGCGGTCGAGCGGCGACAGGTTCTGAAAGCGCGTATACAGCGCCTGGCCGAGTCCGGTCGGCAGCCTCCGGTGTACATCAGTCCCGATGGCAGCAGTACTCGCTGAGCGGCCTCCGGTGTACATCTGTTTGTTGCGGACCTTGACAATCACAAGATCCGGCGGGTGGAGGTGGCGACGGGCGCGGTGACGACGCTCGCGGGCAGCGGCTCCAAGGGCAGTGCCGATGGCGTCGGCGGCGCGGCGCAGTTCCACTACCCATGCGGCGTCGCCATCAGTCCCGATGGCAGCGCTCTTCTGGTTTGCTCGGGGCCCTCCCTCCGCCAGGTCTGCGTGTCGGCGCCTCCTCCGCCTCCCACCTTCGCGCCGATTGTGGTGCCGCCCTCGACCCTGGCGGCAGACCTCGCAAAGATGTGGGGTGATGCGACTCTGCCCCAGGGCATGGTCACCTTCATCGTCGGCGACGACCAGCAGCGCCTCGAAAGCGTGAGCAAGAACGTGCTTTGCATTCGGTCCGTGTTCTTTCGGACCATGTTCGGCATCGGCATGAAGGAGCGCGACGCCGCCGAGGTCACGGTGTCCAACACCGACCTCGCCACCTTCACCGCCCTCGTCCGCTACCTCTGCACCGACCAGCTCGACCTCGGCGAGGAGGAGGGCGGCAGAGCGCAGCGCGCGCTCGACCTGCGGGAGCTGGCGCAGATGTACCAGGTGCGGCGCCTCGAGCTGCTCTGCGCGCAGGCGCTGCAGGAGAGCGTGGGGCCGGCGACCGCCGTGCCGCTGCTCGAGGCGGCGCACACGCTGGGCGACGGGCGGCTCCTCGCGCAGTGCCGCCGCTACGTGGCCGACAACGCCGCCGAGGTGCGGGCGAGCGGCGGCGTGGAGCAGCTGCGCGACCTCGGCGTGGCCAAGGGGCTGCTCGGCGACGCGCTCGACCAGGTGGCGGAGCTGAAGGGGACGGTGGCGGCGCTCAAGGGGAACCGCACGCAGGGCTGAGGTGCGGTTTGCACATTCTTTGTGTCAGCGGCTTTAGGGCGTGCGCCTGGCGTGCGCGAGAGTTTGCATGTTTGTACGTGCGTGTGGGTGGGCATATTTGTGTGGGCATTTGCAGATCGAGGGATCACTTTCGACTAGTCGTTTGTCGTTTTGTTTTCCGCTCCTTCGTTGCGCGCGGTCGCCTCGTCCTCCAGCCTCGCGCTCTCCTCGAAACCCGCCTTCACAAACGCCACACAAACCTACCGTCCTGCCTCTTGCCACTCTCGGATCTGCCTGCGCAGCATGTGGTGCGGGAAGAGCCCCGTGTACTCGAGCGCCTCGCCCGTCATCGGGCTCGTCGACTTGGTCGCGAGCCAGCGCTCCATCGCCGTCCGCTCGTAGGCGTGCCCGTCCGCCGCCATCACCGGGTCGCTCATGACCTCGGTCGTGATCGAGCAGATGAAATCGGCCGGCGGCTCCTCCTCCTCCACCAAAGGCGGCCTCTCTGCAGCCAAGGAGGACGACCCCTGCTCGTCGGGCGCCCGCCTCTCCTCCTCCAGCCTCGCGCTCTCCTCGAGCGCCGCCGCCAACTCCGCCTCCTCCGCCGCCGCCAGCGCTGCCCCATCCTCGGGCACCTGCGAGGGCCCAGCGCCGCCCCCGCCGCCCTTCCCCTTCTTCTTCTTCTTCTTCTTCCCCTTCTTGCTCTCCTTGGCGCGCTCCCCCTCCTTCTCCGCCTCCTCCTCCGCCAGCAGCGCCTCGGCATGCCGCGCCGCCTCCGCCTCTGCCGCCGCTCTCTCTGCATCCCTCGCCGCTGCCTCCGCCACCGCCTCCGCCGCCGCATGCTCCTCGAGGGCGCGCACGCACCCGGCGTGGCCCCTCTCCTTGGCCATCTGCAGCGCGGACTTGCCGTTCTCAGCGCGCAGCGCCGTGTCTGCGCCCGCCCGCAGCAGGCGGAGCACGATGGCGGGGGAATCGCTGAGTGCGGCGTCTATGAGCGCGGTGCCGCCGTCGCTGTTCTGCTTGTTGACCTCCGCGCCGCGCTGCATCAGCAAGTCGACCACCCGCTCGTGGCCGTTGGTGGCGGCGGCCATCAGCGCGGTGCCGCCGTCGCTAGTCTGCAGGTTGATCTCCGCGCCGTGCTGCATCAGCAAGTCGACCACCCGCTCGTGGCCGTTGCTGGCGGCGTCAATGAGCGCGGTGCGGCCATCGCTGTCCGGCTTGTCGACCTCCGCGCCGCGCTGAATCAGCAGCTCGACCACCCGCTCGTGGCCATTGTTGGCGGCGAGCATCAGCGCGGTGTGGCCGCTGCTGTCCTGCAGGTTGATCTCTGCCCCGCGCTGCAGCAGCAGCTCGACCGCTGGCTCGTGGCCGTTGCGGGCGGCGCCCATCAACGCGGTAATGCCGGAAGCCTCGTTCGCCGCGTACACCACCCCGAAGGTCGCATTGACCCGCCCGCCGCTGTCAAGCCACGCCAGCAGCGCCGCCTCGTCGCCGTCGAGAGCTGCTCGAGCAAGTCCGTCGATAGCAAATTCATGGAGGCAAACAGGGTGAGGCAGGGCGGACAGCGAGCCGGAAGAGGCCGCGGCCCCCGCTCCCGCCGCCGCCTCGCCGGAGGAAGCGCCGCCCACGCCGCCGGCTGCCGCCTCGCGCTGGCTCGCAGTCACCTCCGCGATGTGCTGCCGGAAAGCGTCGACGCACGCGCTGTGACCCTCCTCCTTGGCATACTGCAGCGCGGACTTCCCGTTCTCAGCGCGCAGCTTTGTATCCGCGCCCGCCCGCAGCAGGCGGAGCACGATGGCGGTGTTGCCGTTGCCAGCGGCGCGCATCAGTGCGGTGCCGCCGTAGATGGTCTGCTTGTTGATCTCCGCACCGCGCTGAAGCAGCAGGTCGATCACTCGCTCGTGGCCTTGGCTGGCTGCGTACATCAGCGCAGTTTCGCCGTCGCAGTCCTGCTTGTTGACCTCCGCCCCTCGCAGCAGCAGCTCGACCACCCGCTCGTGGCCTCTGTCGGCGGCGGCCATCAGCGCGGTAGTGCCGTCGCAGTCCTGCAGGTCGACCGCCGCGCCGCGCTGCAGCAGCAGGTCGACCACCCGCGCGTGGCCGGTGCTGGCGGCGTACATCAGCGCGGTCCAGCCGTCGCCCTGCAAGTCGACCTCCGCGCCGCGCTGCAGCAGCAGCTCGACCGCTGGCACGTGGCCGTTGGAGGCGGCGGTCATCAGCGCGGTGTCGCCCCCGCGAGTTGCATTGACCTGCCCGCCGCTCTCAAGCCACACCAACAGCGCCAACTTTTCGCCTCGTCTCGCCGCTGTCCACACCGATTCGGGAAGGCTGCCGGCCTCCGCCGCGATGACTGCCTCTGGCACCTCACGGGGTGCTTCCTCCTGCATCGCGGCGTCGAGGCCGTTGCGGCTGACTGTTCTTCGCCTATGAAAGCCACCGCTTTTCTTTTTTCTCACAGCTTGTCTGACAGAGGCACCTGACAGTGCGCCTGACAGTGCCTGACAGCCTGACAGATCACCTGACAGCACCTGACAGCCTGACAGCCAGGGCTCAGGGTCGATCCTTGAGCCCTCCGAGGCCCTCCGAGCCCCCCGAGCCCTCCGAGCCCCCCGAACCCCCCGAGCCCTCCGAGTTCCCCGACCCCGGCTCGGCAGCTCGCCTCCGACCCCTCCGAGCACTCCATCCGAGGGCTTGAAGGGCTCGGAGGGCTCGGAGGGCTCGAGCTTCCGAGCCCTCCAGACCCCTCCGAGCCCTACTGGAGCCCTCCAGCCCTCCAAGCCCTCCGAGCCCTCCGAGCCCCCACCCTAGCCCCCGAGCCCTCCGAGCCCTCCGAGCCCTCCGAGCCTTCCGAGCCCCCCGAGCCCGGCTCGGCGGCTCGCCCCTCCGAGCCCTCTGGCACTCCATCCCTTGTGCGCCCTCCCGAGCCCTGTCCCTAAATATTGCCAACGACACCATGATGTAGAAGGAAGGTGTGGCGGCGGCGGAGGGATCAGTGCACAGTGGAGGCTCTGGCGGCCGGCGTGCCCAGCGTCTTTACCCTGGGATTTGCCCAGTCCGGGGGTGCGTCGAACCTTCCATCACCCTGGGAACGTCCGGGTGTTGGAAGGGAAGATATATTACTTTTTTCTGCAGTGGTGCAGAGGGCTCTCGATCTCGGCCCCGGACCTCCCCCCCTATCCGCCTCCCTCCGTCCCTAACGCGCGACCACCCCACCTCCAGTCAGGCGCCTGAGGCACACTCCTTCGGCCCGGCCACCATGTCCTCCAGGGGGGCCACCTCGACCGTCGCGCCGGTCGGCGGTACAGCTCAAATCGCCTTGAGGCGTACCATTGAGGGCTGCAGTTCCCTGAGAGCCCAATCCCGCTAGGGTGGGCGTGCTTTCACAGCCTCACGAGAGTAACAAGAAGGCGCTCTCAAAAAAAAATACACGGTGTCTGGCGGCTTGGTCACCGCCGCTACTCACGGCCATAGACATCATAATGCCTCTCCTCGCACTCCTTGCGGTCGCGGCGCACGCGCCAGCCCTCCACCGCCCGCGCCTCGCGCGTGCAGTGCAGACCGTTCGCGTCTCGCTTCCAGCGCGCGCTCTCGCCGCCAGCGACGCCGACGACGCCGCGCAGCTGCCACCGGCTCTGCTGCCGCCACCCCAGCGGCGGCGCACGCTCGACCGTGAGCTGCGCTCGATCGCGCTGCCGTCCCTGGCAGCGCTCTCGTGTGAGAACCTCCTCTCGCTCGTCGACACGCTCTACCTCGGCAGGCTCGGTGCGGCGGAGCTCGGCGCCGCCGGCATCGGCATCGCCGCCACCTATTCAATCGCGAAGCTCTTCGGCGACCCGCTGACCAAGACGTCGACGTCGCTCGTCGCCGGCGCCGAGGGCGACGCGCTCCTCTCCTCCGTCATCGCCGCGCTCGCTCTCGCGCTCTTCTTGGGCCTCGTCCAGACGGCTGTCTTCACGGCCTTTGCCCCAAAGATTGTCGCCGGCTTTGGTGCCTCCGCGGGGTCCCCCCTCGCCGCGCCCGCCGCGGCGTACCTGCGCCTCCGCTCGATCGGCGCGCCCGCGGTGACGCTCCAGCTCGTGATGCAGGGGCTGTACCGCGGGCTCGGCGACACTCTCACGCCGCTGCTCTGTACGCTCGCGGGCGCCGCCGTCAACGCGGCCCGCGGCCCTAGAGCCCGTGAGACATGGCGTTGTATTCAAACCGCCGCTCAGACGCGTACTCCGCTGTACTGCGCGCGGTGTCCCGCTGTCTCCGCTGCCCTCGTATTCACGCGGTGCTGTCAACGCACTGCGCGATACCGTCTTCACGCCCCGACATCGGCGTATTCGCACGCTAGGCCCTCGACCCGATTCTCATCTTCGGGTGCGGCCTCGGCTGCTCGGGCGCGGCCGCCGCGACGGCGGCGGCGAACTATGTCTCCGCCCTGCCGCTGCTACTCCTGCTGCTGCGGAGGCTCGCTCGCGAAGGCGGCAGCAAAGGGCGCGGCGTGCGGTTGCCACCGCCCGCCGCTCTGAGCGCCGCGGCGCGAGGGTACCTGGGCGCTGGCTCCGCCATCTACGTGCGCACGGTTGGCAAGCTGTGGGGGTACTCTTACGCCGCGCGCGCGGCGGCGTCGCTCGGTTCGGTGCCCGCTGCGGCGTACGCGCTGACCTTCCAGCTGGGCGTGGCGACGACGCAGCTGTGCGAGGCTGTCTCGCTGGCGATGCAGGCGCTGCTGTCTCGCGAGCTGAACAGGCGCTCTGCCCTGCTGCCTCCTCGGGGCGGCGACGAGGGCGACGAGGGCGACGAGGGCTCGCCGCCCGCCGCCTCCGCCGCCTCCGCCGCCTCCGCCGCCTCCGCCGCCTCCGCCGCCTCCGCCGCCGCTACCGCCGCTACCGCCGCTACCGCCGCCGAGGCGGCGCAGTGCGTGGCGGGCGCGCGGTTTGTGCTGCGGCGGGGACTGCAGCTCGGGGGAGGCCTCGCCGCCGCCCTGTCGATAGCGACGTGGTCTGTGCGCGGCACTGCGGTCGGCATTCTGACCACGTCGGCCGAGGTGCGCGCGGCGGCGATCGCCGTCATGCCGGCGGTGCTGATCACGCAGGTGCTCCTCTCGGCTCCTCTCGGCTCCTCTCGGCTCCTCTCGGCTCCTCTCGGCTCCTCTCGGCTCCTCTCGGCTCCTCTCGGCTCCTCTCGGCTCCTCTCGGCTCCTCTCGGCTCCTCTCGGCTCCTCTCGGCTCCTCTCGGCTCCTCTCGGCTCCTCTCGGCTCCTCTCGGCTCCTCTCGGCTCCTCTCGGCTCCTCTCGGCACATCTATCTCGGCTCCGCTCGGCTCATCGCGCGGTGCATCTCGCAGGTGCTCAAGGGCCTCGCGTACCCCGCCAACGCCGTGCTCATGGGCGGGCGCGACTGGATCGGCTCGACTGCCGCTATGTGGGCCTCGAGCGCGGTGCTCGTGCTGCTCCTCTCGCGCCAGGTCTTTGGCAGCGGCCTGCTCGCGGTGTGGGCGTCGCTCGCGGCTTGCTTCGGCATGCAGGTCGTCATGGCGCTCGGCCGCGTCGCGAGCAAGACCGGGCCGTGGGGCGCGCTGAGGTGAGCGACGAAACATAGAGTCAGTGGCCTCTGAGAGGAGGACGCTGAGCTCGCTGGGCGGCGCGCGCGAAGTGCAGACCGACGCTGGGCATTCGCCGCGCGCGCTGTGGCGGCCCTGTGACTCGTGATCAACCTGTCTAGGAGCCGTAACTCCTCTAACCGCCAGGAACCAGAGTCACTACCAAACATACCGTACGGCCTACGCCTACGGTACAACCGAGAGCTTACGTAGCAGCTTGTACACCCCTCTGCACACCGTGGCTCGAAGTCCTCTTGGGACTTGGCGCTTGCACGCGCGGCCAACACACACACACCATACCCAAACGCAGAGAGTCACACCATGCACATGCTCAATGTGATATCCCGCACGAGGGTAATCGCTGCGCGGTCACCTCCCTCCGGCGTGGCGGCGGCGAAGATATGTTGTCGGCAGCGTGCGGCAGCTTTGTCTGAAACAAGGGAGGGTGCCGTCAAATCGGGCTCCAAGAGACAACGAGGGCGCCGGAAGCGCACCGCGACAAAGTACATCGACAGGGCGAAAAATGCGGCGTACATCACCACGGCAGCGGCAGCGAGGGTGACCGCGGCGCTGAGAGCTCTGTGACCCGCCTCCTCGTCGATGTGCATGCGAAAGAGCGCGGCAGAGAGGAGGAACGCCGACAGGTATGCACCAGTACTTCGCCGCGTGGGCATTGGCCGTGAGTCAGAGTTCGACTGGTGGCGTCACAGGTCGCTTCCGTCCACGCCCCACGCCGCCTACCCGGTATCCCAGGAGGCCCTCGCGTTCAGAGCTGTGAAAGATTTCGGGCTGCGCACAAAAGTTCCAGGCCCTCCCCTCCCCGTCTTTGCCCCAACCCCGCATGCCCTTACCCCTACCCTTGCTGCCCTTGCCCCGTCCCATTGCCCCTGCGCCACCTACGCCCACCGGGCGGTCCTCCTGCGCTGAGCAGCTGAGTGAGCAACTGAGCGCTCCTCGATCTCATCCTCCCCGCCCTCGCCCTGCGTGCCGACGTCGCGCGTAGCGCTGCCAGCCATAGCCGCATGGCGCTGCCAATGGCTGCGCTTTAGTTAACCTCCGAGACGGTGACGGGATGCTGGCTCTGTGGTCTCAGGCCCAGTGAGGTAGTGCACGAGACTATCCCGGATCCTGCTGAACAAGCTCCTCTTGTAGCTCGATCGGTCACACCGCCATCGCCGTCGGGGAGAGGGGGGGCGACACTGCTTCGGCAGCGTGCACCTCGATCCTGTACCGTGTTTGTTATGACCCCCCCCAATGAACACACCAGTGAGGGAGGGCGAGACGATCGAGGGGTCCCGTACCATGCGGAATCGACCCTATCCAGTGCTCAAGTGCTCAAGTTAACCTAGACCGGGGCCGCGGCGGCGGGAGGCACATCTCTCTCTAGGCTGCCTCTCGCCCGCCCCTGCCTCTCACCAGCCCCCCCAGCGCAGCCGGCCGTAGCCGGTGGAGCGAGCCCACGCCTGACGACC